CCAGTTATATTAAATCAATCCATCCTGTCTACACTTGCCCAGTATTTTCTTAGAAAAGCTCAAACTATACTATTTTTCTTATCCTTTTAAGTATACAGGATGTTAGAAAAATTGCACCGACAAACTTTTGAGGAGATATACGCGCGGAAAAAGGACTATACGCAGGAACTAAAACATGGTTGCAGCTGCTGTGTCATAGAAATGGGGAAAGTTAATATTAGTGCGCTGAGAAAAAAATATTTAACAAATAAAAAGTATTTATCTGAATACTAATAACATATTTATTTATACTAATATAAAATATTTTTGACAAAAAAGATATACATCTTCTTAAGACCTTAGCTTTTTATTAAACCAATTATTCACATTATTTACATAAAGAAATATTAAATGGCATATTCTATTATATAAATAATATTAAATAAAAGAATTTAAATTTAAGTAAATATATTACTAATATCCACACCCCGAATTAATATTTTATATTTTTCTGATTTTCTCTCAGTGCCCTGGAGCTAAATTTATTAGCTATTTGAGTTTCCACAACAAAAAATTCCCTACGAAAGTTCTGATTGAAGATATAATTTTGGTTTTCTCTCTCTCACTTCGAAATATTTCTTTTGAAAATATCTATATCCGCCGAAAACATGAGATTACCGCTTTGAATTATAAATCCAAATCAAAAGTGCTTGTTAGTTTTTAATGTTCGCTTTAACGAAAACACGAAAAACGATATTTTTTGTACTCACACGACTGCGCTACTTGATCCTTGCTTCATGGAAGAACGATTTCACAGCCATCAGAAGCGCGATAATTTTCCCTTTCCAATGATCTTTGTTTCAAGTCACTGCGACAAAGCGGAGTTATTGAGGATTATATCGATCCGCGTATTGTAGATCGTCCGGCATTATCGCTGCAGCGCGTCGCGAGTGAGTCTCGATCATAGATTTCTATACAACTACTAGACTGCTAACTCCATTACTATATAAAATTGATCCCGAAAAGTATATGTCACACACGGGAAAAAAGGCATCTGCACATGCCTGAAACTGGTGTTTCAGAAGAAGAGGGGATATAAATGTAATATGGCTGATGCCGTCTGCTTAAATATTTGTGTACGTATAGAATGAAAAACGTCAGAGTGAAATACGTTACTGTAAAAAATTTGTGAATTTGTACAATAAAAAATAAGTGATGTATCAATTGTATATCAGAGTGCAATAATGCCTAAAACGAGATGCTACATTGTGAATGTTGAACCACTAGGCAGGCGCATGCGCGAGATTTCTGTATATATTTTTCGAGGTTATGTACTGACAAGTAACACTGCCCAAGTGCCACACGCCGATCTTTTTGAAACTTTGCACACATGTAGTACATCGAAAAACATTAGACACGCATTTTTTATTTTGGCTAACAAGACATTTTAAGATTAGAAAACACATTCGAAAATTTAATACTCTATAGCACAATGATAACTAACGCTATTCCTCAGCGTTATTCTTTTACAGCTTTTACGACATTACTCTATTATAATTTCATTGTCTGAATGTTTCTGAAGTCGCTAATTATGATTTTAACATTAGTTTGTAATCGTAATTATGGGTCTAAAAAACTTCTTCGAAACTGACTTTGAATAAAGTCTTTGAAACGTCTGCGATTTCGGTCCGTCATTTTGAATCTCGCAAAACTAATGTCAAAATCATAATTAGCGACTTCAGAAACATTCAGACAATGAAATTATAATAGAATAATGTCGTAAAAGCTGTAAAAGAATGACGCTCAAGAGTAGCATTAGTTATCATTGTGCTATAGAGTTAAATTTTCGAATGCGTTTTCTAACCTTAAAATGTCTTGTTAGCCAAAATAAAAAAATACGTGTCTAATGTTTTTCGATATACTACATGTATGCAAAGCTTCAAGAAGATCGGCGTGTGGCACTTGGATAGTGTCACTTGTGAGTCGGAGTTAGCAGTCTAGTAGTATATAGAAGTCTGTGGTCCCGACGCGGCGCATGAATGGAACGCGGAATCTGTTATTGCTTCCAGTGCCTTGCGCGGCGCGGCAAGCCTACCCCCTCCCCCTGCCCCCTCCGCGGCTGAGATAAGCGCACGCACTCACTGCGACCACGCGCGGTCATTCACCTCATTATATAGCGCGAAACCCAACGCGCAGGCGCAAGAGCGCGTATCAGTATTCCACGCGGGCGCGGATTCCGCGCTTGGACCGAATGTTGACGCTGCGATTTTAAAAGGCTACAATACGCGAATAAGTCGACGCAGCGACATGAAATAAAAATAATCTCTTTGACATGCGTTTTCGCACATGTCTATGTCGCTATTTCACCGTCCATTTGGAGCGGCCGTCGTGATCGATTCAAGCACGGCAAACGCGAGCAACACGCATCTTCTTTCATTCGCCATCGAATTGTTCAGATTCCCTACATCGTGACAGTGACGAGATCAATATTGTTATTGTGGATCAGCGTGAAAGAATAATTATCTACAAAATGACAGAGAGGACTGTTTTACTCAAGTTGACAAGTTCTATTCGCACACAAGCGCTAGTATATATTTACTTATATTAATATAAAATATTTTTGACAAAAAATATACATCTTCTTAAGAACTTAGCTTTTCATTAAAGCAATTGTTCACTTCATTTAAATAAAGAAATATTAAATGTTTAAATAAAGAAATATTAAATAGAATATTCTATTATATAAGATTAAATAAAATAACTTAAATTTAAGTAAATATGTTACTAATATCCACACCCTGAATTAATATTTTATATTTTTCTGATACTTTTTCTCTCAGTGCCCTGGAGCTAAATTTATTAGCTATTTAAGCGTACGCGTTGTGTCAAACATTCTGTATATATTTCCATTAATAAGAAAAAACATAAAAATTGTGAAGAGATATATAAAACTTGTATTGTTTTATCCATTAATTACATAGGATGTATGTAATTGAATGAATTTAGATGTTCGCGTGCGGATAAAACTTGATAAATTAAATAAAAACAATCTTGTGCTATCTTGTACAGATTCTCCTACAGTAATTATTGAAATAGTAATGACAAAAATTGATCAATTAATGCGTGCGATATAATTGGACGAAATTTACAAGATTAATTTCTTATAGTCCAATGACGAAACGATTAGCCTTTTAACTAAGTTCGAACTAGCCACTGAAATTTAGCTGATATTACGAAGTCATTTCTTTGTGTGTCATCGGAACAAGCGACGTGTTATTTGACGCTATATGGCGAACGTGAGCTAGAAATTTTGTGAAACAAAAGAACAAACCGAGAACGCTGAACTTAAGTCATAATTTTTATTCCAAGGAGGAAACAAATAAAAACAAAGATAACTCATATTTTTACGACGAAAGCAGATGCTAAATCGAGATTTAGCGCGTGATATAACGCGAAAACAAGGTGTCGTCGCGAAAAGTGTAAAACAACGAGATCATTGCGTATATTTCTAACTGCGAACTGGAATAATCAACGCGTCACACACCTCGCACGACTCGGAAATGCGAAGACGAATTTCCGATAATATAACACACAACATCTGCCTCGAAACTATCAAATGACATGAGTGGTTCCAGTTCGATGGTACACCGCTGTTATTATATATGTATACATTTAAGCGTGCACGAAAGGCATGAATCATATGTGTATGATTAAAAAAAGAACCGCCCGCGTTACAATGAATCACATGTGACTCACTGGCGGCGTAAGTCGCAGTACGCGCCTCATTATCATCAAATTAATTGCCTAACCGTGACGTCTGTCGCGTGTGTAACTGAAGATCGAAATTGCAACTTGGAGTGTGCAATTAGAGCGAGAAGCTCGTGACGGTTCTTCCCCGAGAAATGACTTCGTAATATCAACTAAATTTCAGTGGCTAGTTCGAACTTACAAGTAACACTACCCAAATACCACACGCCGATCTTCTTGAAACTTTGCACACATCGAAACACTTAAACACGTATTTTTTTATTTTGGCATTTTAAGGTTAAAAAACGCATTCGAAAATTTAACACTCTATAGCACAATGATAACTAACGCTACTCCTGAGCATCATTCTTTTACATATTTTCATCCGCCACCTCTAGATTGATATAACTGATGCCAAAATCGTAATTATGGGTCTAACAAACTTCTTCGAAACTGACTTTGAATAAAGTCTTTGAAATGTCTGCGATTTCGATCCGCCATTTTGAATCTCACAAAACTGATGTCAAAATCATAATTAGCGACTTCAGAAACATTCAAACAATGAAATTATAATAGAGTAATGTCGTAAAAGCTGTAAAAGAATGACGCTCAGGAGCAGCATTAGTTATCATGGTATAGAGTGTTAAATTTTCGAATGCGTTTCCTAACCTTAAAATGCCTTGTTAGCCAAAATAAAAAAATACATGTCTACTGTTTTTCGATGTACTACATGTGTGCAAAGTTTCAAGAAGATCGGCGTGTGACACTTGGGTAGTGTTACTTGTTAGCTAAAAGGCTAATCGTTTCGCTGTCATTGGACTGTAAGAAATTAATCTTGTAAATTTCGTCCAATTATATCGCACGCATTAATTGATCAATTTCTGTCATTAATATTTCAATAATTATTGTAGCAGAATCTGTACAAGATAGCACAGGATTGTTAAATTTTCGAATGCGTTTCCTAACCTTAAAATGCCTTGTTAGCCAAAATAAAAAAATACATGTCTACTGTTTTTCGATGTACTACATGTGTGCAAAGTTTCAAGAAGATCGGCGTGTGACACTTGGGTAGTGTTACTTGTTAACTAAAAGGCTAATCATTTCGCTGTCATTGGATTGTAAGAAATTAATCTTGTACTCGACCATATTTCGGCCCTCCTCCCCTCGCTGTACAGCTGTAACTGCAGCTGCAGGGGGTAGGAATTCCGCAGGGCCTATTTTCGTGCAGCGCAGGTGACTCACCGTCTAACACCGCGATCCGAAATCTTTTACAGGCATCGTCGCCCTACGCATGACATCCCTGCAGATACCAGAGCACGTCGTGCTGAATGAGACGGTGCGCATGCAGTGCAACTTCAACCTGGACAATGAGCTATTGTACTCGGTGAAGTGGTACAAGGACGGCCACGAATTTTATCGCTATGTGCCGAGCGACGCGCCCACAGTGCTGACGTTCCCGGTGCCCGGTGTGAACGTGAACGTGAGTGCGACTTGCGAGGACTTGCTGAGGGACGCTTGGAACGACGCGGAAATATCGCGACCTTTCGCTCCCGCGACAGCGAGGGGGATCGGTTATCCAAGGCGGACGCGACACATAAAATTCGGCCATTCATCTTAATTATCTAATAAATTTCTCTCACGCAGACACCGATCAGAGTGATTTCTTTTGGCTCTTTCCAGAAAAATAATTTTCCTAGAAGGGAAAAAAGAAAGAATCGAGTAAAGGGCAATTATATAGAGATTAGTTGAGATATGTGAAGTGTGTTAGCACACCCCGACTTCAAAATTCGATAGTTCTGATTGGAGTTCCAGCTTCCTTTTGAAGAGTACAGGAGCACTTTTATGTTCATAAAGAACATGTTCCGGATCGATCAATACTCCTGGAACTCTCACGGTAGTTTTGCATATTCTAAAAGTTCTAAAAGAAATTATATAGTCGAAAGCGATCCGACCAACCGTTTAGAAGTTATTCAACCTTGAATGTCAATCGACTGAGATTTGTCCAAGTTCCAGCTTGAAATTGAGGGTTTCCGGAGTTCTGACAGTAGTTTTGGATAATATTCTAAGAATTCTACAAGAAACTGTAATGATCGGAGATGATCTTATCATTAACTAAAAGTTATTTCAAATATCTGATTTATGTCAATTGTATAATTTTTGATAATAAATTTTCAAACAATTCTGGAGATTTGTTCTTTTTTCATTCATCAGGAACTCTAGTACTCTCGTCAAAAGATATCAAATAATCCGCTCAGAACTATGCGATCGTGACTGAAGTTGATGTTGGGTATAAAATTAGCATCTCATTTTTAATTGTTGTTGCGATACTGTTAATCGCCGTAACTCTCTTTTCTCATGAATATAAAAGCAATACTTTTTAAAAGGAAGCTACAACTCTAATCAGAACTATCGAATTTTAAAGTTATGGCACCAACTTGACCTATCCAATGATAGTTGTTGGAATATTAAATGTTATCGGAGAGAACGGATGAGGAAGAGTATATCTCTTATTTTAAATTTAAACGTCCCTAGCGAGATCCGTTTCATAAATCTTTAGGTATTAACGACGAGTGGAGCCGCGCGCGATGCTCGAACGGCGAGAGCTTGAAGACGCAATGCGCTTCTCTCACGGCAAAGAGGTTTCCGATCGAATCTGATAGAAATCGGAGAACATTGGTACGCCACCGAGCACCGCGCAGACTCTGCCTCGATCGGGCAGCAGCTTGTAATCACGAATTTGCATTCAGACACACGATTCCACCAAGAGTTCGGTCGTCCTGAACAACGTGAATCTCACGAGCTCAGGAAGGTATCGATGCGAGGTGTCGGCCGAGGCTCCCTCCTTTCAGACCGTCTCTGATCACGCGGACATGATCGTGGTCGGTGAGTATTATTTCGCAAAATAAGAGAGCGCACGTATCGTTATGCCGCTACTGCACCGTAAAACCACACCGCGGAAAAAAGCAATCCTTTTGTATGAATTTATTTATTTGTACTAACTTTTGAACGTCGTAATAGCGTGTGAACGAAAGTTAAAACCGATAAGCGCGCAAGTCGAAATCCAGTGAGAAAAGAGGATACAATAGAGAGTGTAAATAAAGAGAAGGTTAACTTTTTCCCTGACACGGGCGGTCAACGCGACGGTTATTTCAGTAAAATTCGCGAGGAGGTAAAACCGGATAAATGAATACGTGCGGTAAATGCGCGCGGTAAGATAAGAGGGATCTAATCCGAGAGAACGACAATAGCACTAGAAAGGGTCATGGCAACGTTTCAGTTCTACCTAACGAAGGACCGCAGATAACCGGTGGCCGTTCCAAGTATCAGGTGGGCGATATCGTTCACATGGACTGCACGTCGGCACCTTCTAAACCAGCTGCGCTGTTGTCCTGGTTCATCAACGACGAGCCAGTAAGTGAGACACTTAAACCGTCGGCGAAATAATTGCAACCTTTGTTTCACGCTCCGCTAAACTTTTCGCCGGCGAGGCAGCGCGATGAAATGTGTAGTATTTTGTCGGGCCGAGAGAAAGGAAGAGAGAGAGAGAGAGAGAGAGAGAGAGAGAGAGAGAGGGGGGCGAAAGAGAAAGCGCAACCGGAGTGTTGCGGTATACGCAATTTGCTAAATAAATCAGAGCTTCGCTCCGCTCTGTTTTCATTACAAAGACGCGAGCGCGTCGGCGTGTGTCCATCCGCGTTAATTTCGAAAAATACTTCACCGTAATGTCCTAATTTAAAAATTGTTTTGCTAAAATATACAGTTCGACGATAAACACGCGTATATTCCCGAGCGCGCCAATTATAGGCAAATGGTCGGTCGTCTCATGTCAATATCGAGTGTCGATTTTAAATCAGCTCTCGACATTTATGTATTTTTCATTTACTCTCCCGATCCCATTTGTATAAAATTAATGTTCACGGAAGTCTCTCTCTCTCTCTCTCTCTCTCTCTGGTTTCTATTTTTTTCTCTCCTTTGAAAAATTCGTTAGCGCGTTACATCCCGGCGAAATTTTCCGCCCCGACGCAAAGTTTAACCAAATTACAGATTAACTTTAGAATAATTTTATCTCTTCTCACAGCGCCGCTGATGAATGTTATTATCGTTATCGCGCAATAATTAGAATCTTGCTCCGGTGCTTATAATGCAATCTCGCGTAATTGGCTCGGCGAAAAATTTGCATTCGGGATCGAGAAGCGGCGATCCGTCGTCCTTAATTATTTTCGAATCGCGTCCTACGAGGAATCGCGCACGCGCGCCTCGCCAAATTGGAGTCGTCGATGCGTAATCCGTGTCGGATCTGCATCCCGACTAAAAATCTACCTAATTGCTCGCATCCCTTTCACCCATTCACCCATTCCACCCATTCATCCATTCTGCTCGCTCTCTCACCGCGTCCCTCGCCGCCACTCATTATCGCGACGCGAATTGTCCCGGTTCCGTTAGCAACGCTTTTTACGAGGTTCGCCGTCGCCGACGCTTTCAGGCCGACAGCAACTACCTGATAGGGCCCCACCTTATCGCAGTCGACGAGAACGGTTTGCAGACCGCGGCGCTCGGTCTAGAGTTCCGCGTCGCGAACAAGCACTTCAGGCGGGGCGACATGAAGCTAAAGTGCTTGGCCACAATAGCCACGGTCTATCTGCAGAGCAACGAGGAGAGCGTGGAAGGCGACGAGAGCATTCTGAAGACGCCCATGATGGAGAGCCGCGAGACCCGGGCGCAGAGTCACACTCGCGAGGACTTGACGAACGGTAAGCTACGATCTACTCCCTTACTTTCTTATTTTGCTCGTTTGCCCGTATACCCGCCTGCCAATTGCGCAACGTGCCGATCGATCCTACCCCGCGATGCGGAATTGAACTTCGTGACCCAAGTTACGCGTGATACGAATAATCGAGGCGCAGTCGTAACGACACTCGTTATTGATAAGTTAACGGAATTCTCTTCTGAAGAGAAGATCCGTCTCCTGCGAGTGTATCGGGCGGTTAATTCCCGCAGCGAGTCGAGAGCGTGTCGAGAGCTTTCCACGTTCAGCCGGAAAGTTATCTTCTCCTCTCTTTTCTCTCTCTCTCTCTCTCTCTCTCTCTCTCTCTCTCTCTCTCTCTGCCACTCCCTCACTCCATTTTCCGCGTAACTCCATATATCTCGCCAAGTTTTCATAACGCGATCGCGCGCGCTCGCGATTTAGATTCTCCTCTCTGGCGCGCGGTTACCTGTCGCTAGTGCGGCGACACGCACGTTTTCTGTCGGGGGAATATGCGGTTCCGTAATCGCGTATTACCGATTTCAAGCGGGGCCGATGAAAAATTCACTTAAGTCAGCCACTCGCTCGCTTGTTCGTTCTCGTTCGCTCGCGCCCACGTTCGCGCGTAGTTATAAATTCCGATTATAATACTTCGCGTTCTCGCGCCAGATTAATCCGCTGTCGGATTTGATATACCGTAGAGCGGGAGCAATCGGGAGATTGCCGAGATAATAAAATATTATGATGTGTATTTCGTTTATTCCTTTCTCCCTTCCTGCGCGTCCCGTTGCGCTTCTCGCCAATTTTTTGCGAGCTTGCACCGGCCGGAAGTTATCGGCGGGTAATTTCGCAGCGGCGTGTGCGCTCGCTCTCACATGTATATGTAATGTATGTATGTATGCGTGTGTACGCGCGCACGGATGTGTGTACGCGACCGTATTAAAGTAATTTTCGCTTTACGCCGCCAACATATTTCGCCGATCTAAACCGATTGTAAATACGCATATTTTCGGTATGCTTTCCAATGGTGGATATTCAAACACGAGTCACCGTTCGCGCGAATATTTGCATTTGTTTCGCGTCGGCATTCCGAAAATCGTCGTTATTCGTCGCGTTATACGCCCGGCGAAAATTCGCTTCCCCCGGAAAGCTCAAGCCGGTCGAGTAATGAGGAGTATTGCCTCCCTCTCGTTGTCCACCTCCTCCCCCCTCCACGGCTCCCGGAGTATGAGGATAAAGCCCCTAAGTATTAAAACGAATCCCCGTGAGCGTACATTCGGCATTAATCACAACGGGAACTAATTACTCGATGCTTTAATCCGCGATAGTGCTATCGTCCCGGGTCCCGCAATAAAAACTGATTAATTACAGCCACACTGTATTCAAATCCCGACTAAATTACGGCAAGAACAAGGCTCGGGGCACCGAAATGAATACGCGGGATATAGTTCGGCGTCCGAATTAGCCGTTTAAAGGGATGCACATCGCAAATTCGCTAGCAAATCCTCCGCGAGTCTCTCCTCAGCCTATAGCCGGCTCGGGCTATAATGGCGAGTGTATCGCCGACGACTGTATCTGCCGCACAGACTACGAGACTTCCCCAGACATTTCGCCCCGATATACATATATACATAATACATACGACGCCAAGGCGAAAAAGGAGAAAGATTTGCTTGATCTTCAATTTACTCTTGAAATATTAACGAGCAAGGCGATCTCATTTTTCAGCATCGGGAAAGAAAGTGCTCGGAGTTGCCGTCCGAATCCGGACACTCTCGCGTATTCGCGAACGAAAGCGACTCGCGTCAAAGCAACGGGGGAAATAAGAAGAAGCTAAGTGCATTCGTTATTAATGTTTCAGGATCTGCAGAAGCCGCAGTCCAACGGACAAGTCAGCTCGTCGTCGTGGTCGTCGCCGTCCTCGTCGCCCTGATCACAACGATCGCCGTCGCGCGATAATAACGACGGGCGACGCTCTTGTTTTCATTTTCTCACGTTGCTTCCTAATCGTACTAAACGTTAGGATCAGTTTCACCCTATCTACTAAACACTTAATCCGCGTAACCGCATAAATAACGCCATACCGATACGCATATATTAAGTGTACGTCCGTTTACGCGTCGCCGGCGCACGGCCAAAGTCTCACACGCGCGCCCTAGAGGCACTAAATGTGTATTCTCGTGCGTGCGCGGGTCGGACGAGATCGACAGATCGCACAATCAGGTAATAAAGTCGATCCGACCTCCTGCGCATCGTTCGTTTAAATCGTCCGAAACCGGCTAGAAATTTACACCACGATCCTGACTGACCTTAATCACACTGAGAGAAAAATAGTAGCAAATTTATTCGTGGGATGTTAAGTTTATTCACAAAAATATAAATTTTACCTCACAAAAACGAACTTTATATTCCACAAATAAATTCTCAAATGTCCTCTCCCGGTGCAATGGTCTAGTTTCTGCAGTTACCTAGTACGAAATAATATTATTGGGTCTCTTAATTATCAATAAGGTTTCAGTTATTAATAATCTTCATGATCAATAAGGTTCTGGTTGCCACGCTGCGTTACATAATTTATCAGGACAATATCATAATGAAAACAAATACTCGATATTTGTAACTATAATGGAAAAATAATTATTATGAATTATGGTCAAGAAAACTAATTCTCTATTAAATTTTACTATGATGTTCGTAGAAATAATAATCTTATATATATATTACCACTACCATTTTCGTGTTAGAACAACCAAAAGATATGGTTGGGGCTAAAAATAATCATAATTTTAGTTAGATGGACCATTTTCTTTCTCTCAATATATTTTATGCAAATCAGTTGATTGACTGGGATCAACCTGATCAGGAACATGGGATAAATTTTCATGTCGGAAAGCTCTCCCTAGCGAGGAACATCATCGTCAGGAAGACGGCCGGAGCCGTCTTTGTAACGCTTTCGAGATACGTCGATGTTGTTCTTACTACGGTTTTTACAAACAGTTTTCTATTTTCGTGACATATTATTTACTTATCCCGCGGTCCTATCCGACGCGACCGCCGGATGATGATCTCTTCGCGGGTGGACGATGATCTCCTTTTCTCTCCCCGTGAAGACGCGCGTTCTCAGCATCGCCAGCTGTACTGCCCATTCCCTCCTTTCTCTACTCGGCGATCCCTCCCCCCCCCCC